GGTAGCCCGGGGAGTGAGGGCTGGGGAGTGGGGGCTGGGGAGTGGGGGGACAGGGTGTGTGTAGATCAGATATATTTTTGTGCTTAGCAGTTCGGTGCCTTTTCCTGCTGTGGGAGCAGGATTCTGAAGAAGCAGGCGAGAGGGCTGTTTGTGATCCTGCCCTGGTGGGTGGTTGTTTCCCCAGCATTTCCTTCCTGTTTCTCTCCCCGTTTCTCCTAAAGGGTACACAAGGCCAGGTCAGGACTCAGTGATGCTCTCCGTGGAGGTCACAGGCAGCGAAATGTTTTCATTTCTCCTCTCAGCTCATGACAAGTGAAGAAATTGCTCATCTCAGAGGTGGTGGTGGCTGGTCTGTGGGGCTGTGTCAGTGGGCGGGGAGCAGGGAATGTCGCATATTAGTTTATTGCAGGAAGGGCAGAGAGGAGGATTGTTTAAGACTGTTCCTCTCGTCTTCACTTGAAAATACTTCCATACAAACAAAAAGCTGTCATTATCCTTAGTTTTTATTTGTTTGCTGGTTTGTTTTAACTTGAATGAATTTGAAACCTCTTGGCATTCTGATAAATTCCAGTTACTCTTTGTCTCTGTCCCAAACAGTGGCAGCTCAAATCCTGCTTCTTGGAGTCTACTTCTTCATGCATAGTGGGTGGTTCAAAAACAAGGGAAAGTGTCTTTGCATGACCCAGGGTAAAGGTCTCCAGATGTTGATGTGGTGGGGTTCCCTAGGGAAAAGTCACTGTGCTCCCTGAATTCCGAGCCCCTCAGTGCAGAGTGGTCAGTCAGCTTCATAATGGTTCACTTGTAAGTAACAATAAATGTTCTTGAGAAGGAGAGACCAGAGCAGGGGCAGAGAGAGAGAGAGTGATCTGGAGGCAGAGAGAGTGATCTGGAGTGTTACAGCAGCTGTGTGTCTACTGTAACCCCAGAGAAACCCGAGGAAAACTGCACATGTATGGGGAAGGTGGGCATTGCTGGTTATTGGAGGAGTTGGGGGTGTGGGAGATCATTAGTATATGAAAATATAAAATTAAAACTCTGGGAGCAGCTGGTCAGTGGTGGTGCATGACTTTATTCCCAGTTCTCGGGATCCAGAGCAGGTGGATCTCTTGAGTCTGAGAACAGCCAGGGCTCCACAGAGAAATTCTGTCTTAAGGATACAAAAACAAAACATAAAATTTGGGGGGCTGAGGAGATGGCTTAGTCAGTAGAACTTTTGCCTCCTAAGCAGGAGGATGCGAGTTCAGATTCCCAGGATCCATAAAGCACGCTTGTCATTCCATTGATGATAAGATGGGACACAAAGCCAGATGGATCCCTGGAAGCTGGCAAACCAGCTAATCTGGCTTCTGTGGGGAAGTTCCAGACCAATAAGAGACCCCAGTTTGTACAAAAGATATCTACGGACCAATGCCCAAAGTGGTCCTCTGACCTCTGGACTTGAGTATCTGCACTTGAGTATTATGCAGCACACGCGCGCGTGCACGCACACGCACACGTACACAGACAACCCCCCCCATAAGATTGGGTAGAAGAAAAAATCTCCCAAAATGCAGATCAAGAACTAAATAAAGGAAAACTGTCAATTAGAAAACATATAGAGGATGAATCTCCCAGCTACCCTTAGATGCAGCAGCTACTCTGGAAACCTTAAGATGTAGCAATACCTTTAAATGCTGAGAAAAAAACAAGTCTCTGCCCGGCCTCAGGCCCAGCCCACTGCGCTTGAGCATGGGTTAAAGATGCTCTCACACTCGAAGGCTCTCAGGTATGATTTCTCTGAAACTCCTGCAGAGGAAGTGCTTTAGCAAATGAAGAGGGAAGCAGAAAAGGAGGACTTGGAGTAAGGGTGGGAAGTGGGCAGTGACGGCTATCAAAGAGGACGGGAGTAGCCTTCTAGGCTTAGGTGGGGATGCCAGAGGTAGTGGGGGGTGCTCTCACTCTCTCTGAATCCCTCTGGACTTTCTCAGCTAGACTAAAACCAGCCAGATGCCTTCCCACTTCTTAACTCGTCTAATCCGTATACCAACCCTGAGTTGAGTCAGGTTCACACTGGATGTCTAGATCAGATAGCGCAGGCCCTTATAGCGTACAGAACTGAAATCTCTGTGTGGAGGGTCAGAGCGTTTGGCCACTCTGGAGTGTGTGCTGCTAATAAAGAAAGGGCACCTGCAGCGTGCCATGCCTCAGGGTCTGCAGTTCCTCGTGCAGGCAGTTGCACAGCCAACTCAAAGCAGCTCTTCTCCTCATCTTTTATTTTCTGTAAAAGCAGGGAAGGGACCAGAGCAGGGCAGGACCTGGATGTTGTGTCTGGAACATTGCTCACCATACTGTGGCTTTGCCATTTGCAGTACTTGAAAAATAGAAATCAGAGTCCAATTGCAGTCAGACTTTGTGCAGAGTGGATGTCTCAGAGGGTGGGACATGGTAGGCATCCACAGTGTGGCAAGCTGGGCATGAAAGACCCTCTGTTTCCTTTGCTTTTGGTGGCTGCAGTGCAGGAGAGTGTGTCCTACAGTTGGTAAACATAGGGTGCATACGCTAAGCGATTTCTGGAACCGTAGCTGTTGAGGGACTGATTGAACAAGTGAGAGGACTGGCAAAGTGCCGCCCAGCACATAAGTGGTCTGTTGGAGTTGTCATGACCTGTGACCTTACACAACCTGGCCCTGGTAACTTTTAAGTTTTGAAGTTTTCATTTCGTGGAATGTGGACTGTTGGTCTTACTTTCCAGCAAAGATAAAAACAGAGAAAAAGCTTCTTTAAAGCCTAAATCAGCACTCACCAAGCATGGTGTGAATCTTGTCAACCCTGGGAACACTGAGCCACAGTCTATGAGCTGACTGGGAGAACTCATCTTTTTGGGGGGGGTTATTTTCAAAGTCTTGTTTTTTGACCACACCTGTCCTATCTCATGTTTTCAGGGTCTTTTCTTTGATCTCCCACAGACACTTAAGAATCTGTTCAGTATAGGAGAGATTCTCAGATCCGCCTCTTTCCAGAAAGAGTAATAATTACCACCTGCCTGTTTGGTGGCCCGGAAGGATGCTTCTGAAGCAGTTGGAACAGCTCCAGGGAAGACCTAAAGTATGAAATGAGATTTTCTTCCAAACGGCTGAGACTCTCACCCTTAAAATGCTTGAGCAGCCGAGCAGAATAAAGAGAGAAACCAGGCAGCTTCAGAAATCTAACATTGTGACATTAAACAGGTCATAAAGACAGCCTGGGTTCTTAGACTCATCCTGGAGAGATTTTCCAAGGACCACTTCTGTGACGAGAAGGGACTTTTAAATGACAAGCTTCAAACCAGGACTAACTTCGGCAAGGTCAGCTTCAGATAAATGTTCTGACTGCAGAGAATTAGAAGCAGACAAGCCTTCATAGTCCCAGAACCTACTCAAGAGAAGACCAGAGTCCACAGAACAGGAGCCAGGGAGGCAGAGTTATAGTGTAAGAGCAACTGTGGCCGGGAACTGAGGAATTTCCATTCCTTTTTACCAGAAAAGAACCGGGAGTTCCACCAAACATCTCCTCCCTTTATCACCCTCTAAGCATCTGCCTAGAGTTAGAAGACAGCATAGCTTCCAGTAAAGCCAGCTAACAGGCTCTGCTCAGATAAGCAGCAGCAAGTAGCTTTAGTATATGCTGTGCCTGGCAGGCCCCAATCCACCGCATCTAGAAGAGAGGCTCCCTCTCACAGAGGTATCCCACAGTACCTACCTTTGCCTCATAAATACTGGGATTCAAGGTGTGACCACCATGGCAAAGTCTGAGAAAATGGGAAACACTTGTAGGAGGGGTAGGCTTCGTAGGCCCCCTGGCTAAGGGAGGAGAGCCGAGACAAATTCCAGGAGCAGGCTGTACACAAGCTGGTGCTGGATGAACCAGTGGACTCCATGGTGCCTGTCTTTTGTTATCACCTACTATGTGCTTTGCAGGCCACAAGCAGTTCCCGGAGTCCTAGCAGCCTTGCAAGCTGTCCCTGTCTTATTCTGGTGTGAAAGATGTCTGCATATTTTTGGTAGCTGGCTTTGCTTTGGTCTTTTATTTTGTGTTAAATACTCAAGATCAGCATGAGCTTCCTCTCTTCTTTTTAATTAAATAAACTTACCAAGATGACTCTTCTGCCAGAAAGACAGGATAAAGGGCATATGCCTACTAGGCACCCCTGGAGTAACCCCAACTGTGTGTGT